CTTGGTTTAACGATCAAATCAGTCGAAGTAAGCAGAAGGAGAAGACCTCAAACAAGCACCATTTTTTTCAAAACCGTGTCTCAGAGAGAAAAGCCGAGTGTATTTTCAGAAAGCCAAGACCCTGGGCATTACAGAAATGTATTTTCTGTTTTCCTGGAGTAAAAAATGAGCGCACAATCATTTGAGAAAAAATGTGTAAATTTGTGGTCTTTGAGAAAAATCAGTACCTGTCTTTGAATGGGTGCAGATGGGGAAGGAAGAGAGAAACAAGGCTCCAACCCCCCCAAACTTAATTCTGTTGGCTTCCAAAGGGAGATTGTGAGCGGGAGGACAAATTTTCCTACGTTCTGATGTAAAAATTATGTCTGTCACATAAAAATTGTGGCCAGGGTGACAAGTTAAAGAAAAAATGTACTGTGTGATATTTTTCTGAGCTCCGACTCTGGTGATGTCATCACTCACTCTAAAGGACCACATACACACCCATTGTAAAGGCTGAAAATGGGTGAAAAAGTTTCAAAACTTGAGAGCTTGTCATGAAGAAACAATTGAAGATATGAAAAAAGAAACACTTTGAAATAGGGGAAGGACGTGTCAACATTTTAAAGTTTAAATGGAGTCTCTAGGTGAAAGCATGCCTGATCAGTGGAGGTTTGAAAAGTAGTGTAATTTTGGGTGGTTTTCACGTCCGTCCCATTCATTTCCAATGGGAGACTTCTACGACGTTTTCGCAAATTGCGTTGCGAAAAATGCGTTTTTTGTAAATCTGTATGTAAGCACACTATTCCCTATCCAGCCGCACTTTTTGATGTATAACTTGTCTGGGTGCTCTCAAAGCTGTGGGAGGAGTAGCTGACCGAAATTTTGTACGGAAGAGTAGAGATAAGAAGAAACCCACAGGATAACAATAGTGGCCTCGGGCTTCGCATGGATGGATGGCAAGGGAAGTTTACAAAAAATGGACATCAGCTCCAGACAGTGGATGCCCTTCACGAAGCCATCTTCACCACTTGGAACAACATTCCCACTAGCCTTTTGAAAACACTTGCATCAAGTATGCCAAAACGAATTTTTGAAGTGATCAACAATAATGGTGGAGCTACTGATTACTGAGTCAGTTTTTGACACTTTAATTTCTTTTTTAGGAGGTTTTTGGGTTTTTTTTGAGCTGTGGTCTTAAACTTTTGATCAGCTGATGAACAGCCTATTTGAGTTAAATTGTTGTTTTCAATAAATTGCCTGCTCACAACTTTTGGTCTCTTGTTCCCATTGCTTCTTTTTGTATTTTGAAGCTCTACTTAGAACCTTCCTAAGATCCAACTGTGCAAAATGCAAATTCTTGCCATTTTTAACTGGTCTTAAGATTTTGATCAGGAGTGTATAATCAGAGTAGATGAGGGGAGGTGGTGATGTCATCAAGTACCCTGCTACCCCAATTGCACATTAACGGCGATGCGTTCTCCCGTTCTCGCAAGTCCATACTCACAAGTGCTTGCGTACTTGAGTATTGAGAAATGGCCCTAGACTTTTGTAGGTAGCTAAAAGGTCCCACGGTCCATCTGTTGTAGTAGAAGTTAGATGTGTACAGGGTGAAGAGAAACGGTGAGAGCACTGTCCCAAGTGGGGCCTTCGTGCTGTGAATACCACGTCCGACACACAGTCCTGAAGCCTCATGTACTGTGGTTTGTTGGTGAGGAAGTTGATGGTCCATGCAGCCAGGTGACAGTCTACTCCCGCTCTTTGAAGTTTCACCCTGAGCAGAGAAGGCTGGATTGTGTTGAAAGCACTGGAGAAGTCAACGAACATGACTCTCACAGTGCTGCCGGTGTTCTCCAGGTGAGTCAGCGATCTGTGCAGCAGGTAGACAACTGCATTGTGGATCCAGATGTGGGCTCACCTGGGGACAGAGGTGTGAATTTAATGTGTTTGCACAACGCTGCTACAGCACAAATCATGGCTCGTGAGCGACGTAATTAATAGTGCAAGTTGTGTCCAAAATGTTACTTTGCTGACGTGCTCTCTAAATTGTCCACAGGTGTGATTGTGAGTGTGCTTGATTGTGTGTCTCTCTGTGTAGCCCTGTGATAGATTGGTGACCTGTCCAGGGTGTCCCCTGCCTTTGCCCTAAGTCAGCTGGGATAGACTCCAGCCCCCCGTGATCCCAGTGAGGATTCAGCGGTGTCTAGATATTGAATGGATGCTACCACAGCTGCATTAGCATGTTGGATTTAGAACGTGAAATTTTTGAGGAGATCCTGTTTTATATGTACACTTTTAAGCCAAAAAGTTAAGTAAGCACTATAATTGCCTCAATATAGATGAACACACAGTGTAATATTCCCTTTGAGAAGCCAAAAGAATACATTAAGCAAAATGGATGCATAAAACAAAAATACTCAAGAGTATAGTACATATATTGTACTCAAGTACTGCAATTTCAGTGAGTGACATACTTGAGATCGTAGTTACCTTTTAGCCCTGCCATTTGTTAGAAAACACACTTGTTCATGACATTACGACAACTGTTTATTAGAAAGCAGATTGTCAATGGTTAGCGCTTCATTCCACAGGTATTGGATATGTTGTTTTCTTGATTTTGTCACAAGTTCAGTCTTCAATTTCATATTCCAAACAAGCTTGAATAGACAGGGTTATCATTTTAATGGGCTTTTACTGATCCAGATGAACTGAGTAAACAAACCGGAAACTTGGGTTTTGTCTTTTTTTTTTTTTTCTTTTTTCTGTCATTACACAACTTTTTGTCATCATATTGACAAACATAAAATAACCAATATATTGTCTGTAACATTAAAATTATATGATGAACATTCTGCTCTCCACATAGCACCAAGTAGTATCATAATGAAATACCGTCAGCAGTATGACCAGCAAATCAATTTTGTTCCAGCTGCACAGATGGACCACATGTTGGTGATACTGTCCCACTACTCTGTTATTAAACCTATCCAGCACCACAGTGACGTGATATGTAACAGGAATTCTGGAGGCTCAGCTGCTGAAGGACCACATCAGTGAACGCTGGCCCCTGCATCTATTTAAAACTCTCGCTGTTACATTTCCCTGTCCATGTATGGGAGTTCCTGATGTGCTTGAACCATATATGTCGAGGTGAAATGTTTAACTTTTTTAAAGCATATATGATAGTCAAGTTCACTTTCAACCATTTTCCATTCATACCAGACTTCTACAAAGTTTCTGATGTTTTTCCTACTTTCCTGGCAGCCTTTCAGTGTTATGACATGTAATCAAGAAAGTACCCCTATGAATTTATAAAGAGACTTCTATGCACATTTCCTTGTCCAATAGGCACTATGTAGGCACAGTCTATTTGTGCTACACTGTACATTTTCATACACGTAGGCAAATTTTATTAGATGTGCCAGATTTACTAGCTAATGCCAGTAAGTGCAATACTTTTTGTCATCCTTTTAGCTGCATGTCCACCAGAAGAACTAAGTAAGAACCATTTAAAGTGCTCAGATCTTTATCGTGCATTTTGAATGGAGGAACCAAGGTCTAAATTAAGTTACAAGGAAATAGCTTTACCTGTCAAAATGTCTTTTTATGAGGGTGAGTATTTTTAACAGTTGGGGCTTGTAGTCCTAACTGTTGAAGACTGGTCGAGCAATATAGCACTGTTACAAGCATTTTACCATTGCCATTTTAAAGAAATTGCAACTGCACATCACTTTTAATTTGTTTCTTGGAAGCTACCAAGTGTTAAAATGTAAGCTCTCTACTGTCCTCGCAGGGTTTTAGACTGTGGTGGAAGTGATATGGGCAATAAAGGGCTGACGCAACCAGCTTTTAATTTCTTAAAAAGTTCCCAAACATTAGTCTTACTCAAAGTTCTGATGACTATTGGTCGAAATGCGACCTTTCTTTTGTTCTCCTCCACAGTTAAAGAACCTTTGTGCAATTGACATTTTCAGATAATATAATCAATTGTGCACTTCTGTTCATCAATTGTCAATTTGCTGTCCCCCTGTTTTCTAGTGCGCTCTGTAGACATTGCTAAGAATTCTGACACGTTGCTCTAGCTTCAGAATGCCATCAAAATTTGAGCATTTAGCCATACTTTGGAGAAAACATGACTGAGAAACATGCCAAGCTTAGAGATTGAAAACATGTAAAGGCTCATTATGCTGGGTTGTAGTAGTTTAAGCTGTTTAAATGTAAGTTTTAACACCCAATTCCTCTATGAACCTGACCAAAATGGCAGTTTTTCACGAAAGGGTAGATCTAAATTAAACAAGCACTTTTCAAACATACCGTGAGTGTTTGACTATCACTATTACTGCTCAACAATAATGGAACATTAAAAATTGCCTGTCATGTCTGTTTTAACCTGATATTTAGACTTATAATATGCTGTAGTACACTTTAGAAAATGGTTCAAAGCAACTTACAAGATAACTACAGTCAATGCAATTTTAGGAAAGAAGCCAGAATATGAAATCCACTTCAGCTACAACAAGTACAGCGAATCAATGTAACCTGAAAAAAGATCTGTAAATTTTGATAGATGTTGAGGTCATAATTTTACTATTCACTTTTATTCTCTCTTCCAAATATATTTGGCTGACCAGTGTATGCAATTACATGTCAATTCTATTATGAGCCTCTACAGTGGTGCCCTCTCATCAAAAAAGGAAGCAGGTTGGTGGCAGCATTCTTTTCGTTTTCATGCTGCCACTTCCCCTCATGATAACGCTGTCCCTACCTAAACACACGCTCACTTCTCGCATGTTCCATGTAACACCTGATGGACTTTTAAAAAACTTTTTAACAAGGGGTACCCCAGTAGCTCAACTGGATAAGACGACAACCCATGTACAAGGGCTATAGTCCTCGATGCAGCGGCGGTGGTTCGAGTCCAGCCAGCGGCTCATTAACCGCATGTCCTTCCCCCACTCTTCTTCCCACATTTCTCTATCTGTCTACACTGTCCTGTCAAATAAAGGCAAAAAGCCCAATAAAATAATCTTTAAAACAAAAAAATTTTTTTAACAAAACAATTGCACCTCAAGGTAGCAAACTTTTTCCAGAGCATTCAGTCATCCACCGCAGTCTCTGTCAACACATGAACTTTTCTCAGTTGTTATGTAATTTTAGTCTTTTCTATAGCTTCCAATCTTTATAATAAACCACTAGGATATTTTTTTAAGCCAACATGAAAAACAAGCCCCAAAAGTCTGAAAAACATCTGCAGTTCAATAATAATTGAGTAGACCCCACCTAATACAGATGTGTGTGATACAGCTGAATGCTCCAGAAAAAAGTGACTTTGCAAACCTTGAGTTAACATTGTTCAAGGTTAAAAAATGAACTTTAAAGCTCAATGATACAGCGTCTCTTAATGCCTGGGGCAGGGGAGCAACGTTATGAATGTGACAGAACATGAATGCTTGGGCAGCATCGAAGAAAACCAGCTCTGTTCTCCACATGACCAGCACCTCCCACAACAGTCAGAGAAAGAGCACACGCATCTCAGAGACCACACCATGTCTTGTCTTTGACAAACACTTTAGATTTTACAGTTTCAGTTGTCAATGAGTGTAGCAGAGGGTGTTAGCAGTCAGGCTGTTTACTGTGCTGGGGTGCAGCGGTGGCTCTTGTAGGTGCCCAGGTGGCGAAAGCTGCGTCCACACTGCTGGCAGCAGTAAGGTGTGGCGCCACTGTGGATCCTCTGGTGGGTGTACAGATTCCCCAGCTCCTTAAATCGTCTGCCACATTGAGGGCAGGCGTAAGGGCTCTCGCCAGTGTGCACGCGTTGGTGTCTCTTGAGTCCCGACAGCACTGAGAACCCTTTCCCACACTGAGGGCATGGGAAGGGGCTCTGGGCACCGCTGTGGATAAGCCTGTGACTTTTTAAGCGAGCTGCATGGCGGAACCTCTCTCCACACTCTGGACACATAAAAGGCTTCTCTCCAGTGTGGATGCGCTGGTGCTGTCGCAGGTTGCCAAGGTAGTTAAAATGGCGGCCGCAGTCGCCACATTCATAACCCCCCTCAATTTTAATTTCCTTTTTCACATGCCCGCCTCCTTGACTGACGTTCATGCCAGACCCTAGTCCTGGGCTTCCCTCGTTCTGACCCCCTCCAGCCCTCCTGGAATCACCGCTACCATCTCCCATGGTGGTCGCAGCAGAGGAGGTGGACTGCAGGGCCTGGAGAGCCTGGGCACCAGCAGAGTCCGAGTGTATCAGCTTGACATGTTCCTCCAGGAACACAGAGTCAGGACAGAAGGTTCCACACAGCGAGCAGATGTAAGTGTGGCTGGAAAACTGCTGGCCTGAAACCAAATACATTACTTTGTTAATATGGTTATATAGTAAAATACAGGGTGCCAGAGTGCAACCAAAAATCTGTCAGGTGTGACAACAACAACATTTTTATCGGTTGCACTGGTGTGGCTGACATTTAGCAGGATTGTCTCTGTGTGCATACGAGGTGTGTCAGAAAAGTTTCAGGTCTGGTGTCACAAAAGATATATTTCAAATCCAAACTACAAGTTTTCCCCTTCAAAGTAATCCCCCTGGAGTCTAACGCACTTTCCCAGCCTTCTCTGCCACGCTGCCATTCACTCCTGGAAAGATTCTTCCAGGAGGGTATCTTGATGTCATCCATGTCTTCAAAACAGGTCCCTTGATGATTCCCTTGAGCTTGGGGAAAAGGAAAAAAATCACACAGAGCCAGGTGGGATGAGTAGGGAGGTTGTTCCAGCACGGCGATGTTTTTCTCAGCCAGGAACTGTCAGATGCTCGGGACATTGTTAGCAGGTGCATTATCATAGTAAAGCAGCCACGACTTGTCCTGCCACAACTCTTGCCTCTTCTCAGGCACTGAATGAAGCAAACGCTGCAGGATCTCTTAGTAGACATGCTGGCTGACTCTCTGAAGGAGAAAACTCGTAGTTTGTAGTTTGGGTTTAATATATATCTGTTGTGACTCCAGTCCTGAAGCTTTTCTGTATGCGTATAATAGTGATGCACAGATGAGTGGCTCACAGGTAAATGTAATAGAAATTTTCACAGGCTCAGGCTAGTCGGGTTAAAAAGTAACTGAACAGCTTGTCCGATTCACTTATAAAGACTTACACTGTGTGCAACAGGATAGGCTGTGATACCAGTCCACCTTCTCTGTCTCTTACTCTGACAAAGAGCAGCACTGGAGGGTGTAGGTTCTCTGCCCATGTACACTCTAAATAAACTCAGTTCACTGCAAGATACTTGTATTAACTCATTACTTAAATACACCATTTTAAGTCATTGTTAAGGCATCCATGATGTGGGAAGTTGTGGGACCCCTGCTGGTTACGGTTGGTTAATTAATGCATATTTTTGCATGTTGAACCATGTAGATTGACTTTGATAATAAGCTGAGTGTGTATGGGTATTGAATTTAATGTTCTTTTTGAAATTTCTTGTTTCTGGTGATGGTGTTTACTTATGTTTTCTAACTTCAGTGCTCTGGCTTTTTCCTGCTGTCGCGCAGCATTATCCCAGTCAATTTGATCATGCCAGTTGTTAACACTGTTGATGCTGGTATCATGTCTGAGCAAAATGTGGTGCATCAGGTCACTTTTGGTTTGGTGAAAGGTCAGCAGATTGATTTATCTGGGAGGGAGAGGCCAGTAGCCCTCAGTAATTATGAACGCAATGTCGACTAGTCAGTAATAAACCCTCCACTAGTGTCTGCTGCAAGCTCCAAACCCACTGTCCATGCACATTCTCAGCCAGGAGCCATGTAATATGTGTATTCTTCTGACTTTTCCTTTTTATTGACCACTCACCACATTCTCACATGTCTGCAATCATCTTGTCAAATATAATATGTCAGATTCTGAGCCAACTTTTCAGAAAACTGGACTTATTCTTAAAGTAAGAATGTGAATTATATGCTAAGCTGGGGAATGGACTTTGTCACTGATTATGTATAAATGTTTATAGATTAATGTAGGTAGCTTGCCCCGTACCTCCCTCAGGCCTGTCTGTGTTGCCCTCCAGGGGACTTCCTCCCTCGCCTGGAGAGCTCTGGGGCTCCATGGAGAACTCAGGTTGTTGGACATGTGAGAGAGGAACCTGGGCCTGCTCCAGTGCCCCCTCCTCCCTCCTGGCGGATTCATCTTCATTCTCATCATCTTCTGTCTCACCGGTCCGGGTATTCTCACAGTTAGGCTCCTTCATGACTGGGGAAAAATAAAAGGAAAACTTTTGTCATCACATATAAGTTAAAATAGCCAGTTTTTATCTCAACATCAGACTGACACAACAGCTGAAATCACTATGAGGTCCTAAACTTATTTTGATAGAGTGTTGCTTTAACAGATAAACTGTTAACAATTCTAGCTCGTTGAAATTTTCAAACATAATATGTACCCACGTAAGTTCAAAAAACAAGATTGGAACCGGCTTTAAACTCAGCGACAGTTGTTTTTTTTTTTTCATATAGGGACATTCACTGTCTAACAGTTATATTAATACAGTGCCTAAAAAAAGGATTCATACCCTTTTGGAAGTTTTCCCCTTTTTTATTGCTTTTCAACACTGAATCTTGCTCAATTTAATTTGGCTTTTTTGACAAAAAAAAAATTACAAAAATTTTTGTCATGCCAGGGGCTGCAAGGTGGCTCTGTGGTTAGCATTGTTGCCTCGCAGCAAGAAGGTCGCCAGTTCGCGTCCCGGTGAGGACACCCGGGATCTTTCTGCGTGGAGTTTGCATGCTATCCCTATGCAGCGTGGGTTCTCTCCGGGTTCTCCGGCTTCCTCCCACACAGTCTAAAATCATATTGAGGTTAATTGGTGATTCTAAATTGTCTGTAGGTGTGAGTGTGCTTGGTTATCTGTCTCTAAGTGTAGCCCTGCAATAGACTGGCGATGTGTCCAGGGTGTCCCCTTCGCCCTAAGTCAGCTGGGATAGGCTCCAGCCCCTTGCGATCCTAGGGCTGGACCCGAATAGTCGAATAGCTGACTAGTCGTTCGCTGTGTTGGAATCGGGATATCAAACTTGATCTCCGAATATCCCTGCCGCCGTGAAAACGGAGCCGTCACCGCTAACCTAAACACAGAAACTGGTCTTTGCAGCCAAATGCGGCCTGTGCATCACGCTCACTTCAGCTCGTCGGAGCCCGTCAGTGGTAAATCAGTTCTCCTGGCTACCAAGAAGACAGGAGAACAATCCAGAAAAGCATAAGTCAAGGGATGGATACAAGAACATTTCTAACTCACTGAATAGGATATAGCACATACGTAAATCTACCTAGCATGCCGTCCTCAAAAACTGAGTGACCATAGAAGAAAGTGACTAGTGAGGGAGTCTAAAAAAAGACTAAAAGACACCTTGAACTTCTCTGAAAGAGTTACATACAACTGTTGCATGGGTTCTTCACCAACCAAAGCTTTATGGGAGAGTGGCAAAAAGAATGCCACTGTTAAAAAAAAAGTTCATTAAATCTAAGCAAGAGTTTGCCAGATGGATGACTGTAGTCAACCGGAAGAAGGTTCTTTAGTCTGATAAGACCACAATTAAGCATTTTTTGGCCATTACTCTAAAGGTTATGTTTGGCAGACACCAAACTCTGCACATCATTACAAAAACACAATTCCCACCATGAGGCTGGTGGGATACTTCTCAGCAGCAGGACCTGTAAGGGTTGTAAAGGTAGAGGGCAAAATGAATGCAACAAAGTATAGGGATATCCTAGAGGACAACCTGATGCAGTGTGCAAGAAGACGGCAGCTCGGGAGAACACTTGTTTCCCAGCAAGACAATAATCCAAAGTGTGCACCCAAAGCGACACAGAAATGTTTTAAAGACAAAGTGAATGTTTTGGCCGAGTCAGAGCACAGACCTTAATCCAGTTGGCAATGTGTTACTGGACTTGACAGGTGCTATTCACTCACAATGCCCATGCAACCCGAAAGAGTTTAAGCAGTTCTCAAAAGAAGAATAGAATAAAATTACAGTGTCCAGATGTGCAAGGCTGATTGAGTCCTATCCACACAACCTCAATACTGTAACTGCAGCCAAAGGTGCATCTGCTAAACACTGACTTGAAAGGGGCGAATACTTACGTAATTACTTATTTTACAAGTTATATTTAAAATTAGTTAATATTACTTTGTATAAATCTGTTTTCACTTGACATTAACCTTTTTTTTTTTCTTTTAAATTTCTGTCAAAAAAGCCAAATTAATTATGTGGACCATGATTCAATGTTGAAAAGCAATGCCAAAAGACAGATGTTTAAATGACACCAATAAAAAGAAATAAATATGGAAAGCTTGCAGAATGGCTGATTCCCAGTCAGCTCATCAGGTGAACAATGTTTACATGGTGAATGCTTAGACGTATAGATGCTGAAATGGTATTTAAATTATATATTTTGTGTCAGTGTGTGTATTTTGCTTTGTACTACACACACAGGGCACGAACACCACTGTGAGTCCACACACACACACCTTATGATTGGCACTGTGTGGTTACCTTTCAGGTCTGAAGAATATTCCATTGGTGCTATCCACTCGTAGTCATACATCCGTTTGCTGCCTGAGGGGAGCATACTGAAAATGTCATCTGCGGTGGACTCGGAGTCTCCGTGCACAGGCCCGGAGCCGGCCATCCCGCTGTCCGGCCACAGGGTGAGGGAATGCGGGTCCGGTTCTTGGCGAGCCTCCCTGTCACTACTGGCTTGACTGCTGTGATCGTCCATTTCAGCACAACCCCTCGAGTTCTTGTCTTTCATCAGATAGTCACAGATTGCGTCTATATTCTCCTTCTTTACGCCGGGCATGACAGCTTTGGCTCTCCTGGGGTCTGTGTTGTTGTGCTTGGTTCCGGAGCTGAAGTCATGTTTCTTGAAGCCAGCCTCAGCAGATGGTTCCATGGTCGTTACGCCAGGGAAAGGATCCCTGCCATCCCTCTGAACTGTGTCCAGTCTCGCCTTTAACACTTCAATTTCCTCGGTTTTCTCGCGCAATTCCATTTTCAGCACTCTTATCCTGATGCTCACCATTTTGCGGATCTCAGACAGCGCTGTCTCGAGTACCACGGTGATGTTTCTACCGAGGTGCTCGGTGATGTCGCTGACCGAGCAGAGGAGCTCCTCATCGGGCTCCAGCTCCAACAAATCCGCGTCAGCTCGACCCACTGACCCGGGAGGCTCCATAAAGGTGCCGTGGAGTTCAGGAGACAGGCTTGTTTCAGCAAAAATGTGGTTTCTTTTGCGACTCATAAATTATTTTCACTATGAGCTGGGTTTTTTTTGAGAGTTGGGCTAGCTAAAAGCTACTCAGCTAGCTAATGTTTGGATGATGCTGAAAGACTGTAGATTAGTCAAGTCTACGAGAGTTAGCGTGCGTCTCACCGGATGTAGTAAAAATCCATCTTCAAAACAAAAGCATTTTCATCTTAAACCGCTATCTTGACGTAGACTCAATAATTAGACTTTTTTTTTGTTAAACAGTGAATGGAAGTATGTTTATTGATATTTGACACTTGACAGATATAGTCAGAGTTGCAATACAGTCTGTGGCAGTAATGGCTGAATTCGGTAGAGTTTAGATGAATTTTAAAAGCAGCGCCCTCCAAAGTATACGGCAGGAAACAGTCTTCAATACTACAAATCCAAAACTAGCATACTATGCAACATGAACAGTGGCCGACATAGTTGTTATATATTGAACTGAGCAGAATCTGACTCACCTCACGATTTAAACAGATCAGATATATATGAACCATTCAATTCTCCTAAAGTTCAACAAATGTTATCTTCAGGTAATTTTTTGTAACGCCTTTAGAGAACATTGCGATAACATTATCTGAAGGTTATTTCTGAACTTTTAGTTCAACAAGAATGTTCTTGAAATTTCACGTTCAAAAACATTCTCTAAATGTTGCTTTTGTAGAACTTCCATGAAACTTTTGAAAAACGTTCCCTCAATGCTAATTTGGGAAAACTTCAGAAGGCCTTATGGGAATTTTCAGGGATGTCCATTGACCATACACTTTTGGGGAAAAAAAAGTTTTACAGTCTTGAGGTTGTTTACACACTATTCTCAGAACGCTCGATGAACGCTCATGGAATGTTAGGACTAGAGGCTGCGCATACATGCATACATAGAATGCTCTCTGAACTTACAGTCCCAGGGTTTTGGTTCCCTTGTCCTGCCACTGTCCTCTGCATCAGCAACTGCACAGTACTCTAGGAAAGTTTACTAGAGATCACAACTTAGAACTTAATAGCTTATAATAATATTGTAACTTATTCATACCTTAAAATATTGATGGTCCCATACACCTGACTATTTCACACCCATAGCAGTTCTAGGACCAGCGTACAGGTGCCACAACTGAACGTCGTTTTTTATTGCTTTGTGATGATTTTATGTCTCTTTATGATAGTTTTTTTCACTTTGGTTTTAGTTTTTGCCTCCTTGAGATCAGGTCTGAGCCCCCCTGAAACCTTTGGCTCCTGGCCCAGTGGACTTGTTCAGTGATTTATTTGTATGTGCAGCCAATAAAAGAAAACTGAATACAGAATGCTCACACCATTCTGAGACTAAAAACCCTTGTACTTTACACCACTGAGTCATCTGACAACTACTGTGCATAATAAAAATAAAGTAAGTGTTATATGACAGTGGATTTTTCAGACACAATGCAGCATGTGCTATAACTTGAGTGCCGTTATGTATCTTGTGATTCCATTATGGGGATTGTCTGATTGCTGGGGTCATAAATTCCTGAGTGTTGCTCCAGTTTTAGGCCAACACTGCTGCTGCTTGGCTGCAACTCTGAGCTGACAGAGGAACTGACTGGAGGAAAGGAAATGCTGACTCTGTTCCTGGGATGTTTGAGGGAAAACACACACTTTGGATTATACACTAATCCAAGGTCAGTCACAGACTGAATGGAAAACTGAATGGAAAACTGAAGGGGGAAAGTTTGGAATAGAGAGTGTGTACATCCGAAAGGACATGCAGTTTTCTTTGATTATATTTAGGAAGTCAAGCTGGTTTTGATGTTAAAAAACAATAAAAATGTAGTTTCAGTATGTCCCTAACCTCCCCCCTATTTAGTCATTTGGTAATTGAAGGCCCTTTATTTATCCAGTGAGTGATTATTAACCTGAACATTGTGACATTGTGCACTGCAGTTTTGGAGAGAGACAGTGGAAACTTTTCATTGTTGAATTACACAAAAAACAAATACTTGTTCTGGTTGTTTGAACAGATGTGTAGGTATCCATCCTACAGCATGACACAAGTAGAAATAATATAACCTTTTTTCTACTGTCAGTGCAGTAGACCTCAGTAGCCTATGTAATTTGAGTCAAGTTCACCAGAGCAGCCCAAGAAATAAATCAAACTCAACTTCAAAACAAAAGTTGTCAGTAATGGTCACGTGTCGTCAGTTTTCAACCTGAGCATGAATTCTGAGGTCAGATAAGAACACAATAAAATAAATAAAACTTAACAAGCAAAGAAGGACATCAAATACATTAAAAAAAACAACAACAGATCAGGCCAATCTATAAAAAACTTAATTCAACCTCCTTAAAATGCAACCTTCCAACGAAACAAACAAATAAATAACAATATGTAGAATGTGTGTATAATATATCATATTATATTATAGAATTGAATGTATAATATAATATAATATAAAATAATGAAAAATCTAAAAAGCAAAACAAAAACGCAGAGTTCAGTTTCTCCTGAAATCACCACTGAAGATATTGTGTCGTATTTTCTTCTGATTTCATGCCAAGTAAACTGGCTTTATTAATAAGTGTTAGTTTCATATCTGTGGGGACTGGCCCTACTGCTTTTCACTCTCTGCTCTCCTCTCACCCCAACTGATGCTGCAGATTGAGGTGGTTCTTTTCACGATATTGCAGTGTTTTGACCTGACTATGTGGCTCAGACTTAAATATGTTGATGTTTTACAAATAAAATTGAAATTACCAAAATTATTACATTAGAAAATCCACATGCATGTATGTAAATATAAGAAACTTTTTTCTTAGGTTTTTCAAATGTGCCCAGAAACACATTAAAACTTAAAAAAAAAAAAAAAAAATTTCATTTAGCTGTAAAGCGAAGTAGGTTTATAACAATAATAACAACAACAACAAAAGCACGGTTTCCTAATTATAATTCAAATTTCTGAGATTCTGTTCAGTTGATTTCATGCAAAACTTTGAAGGCTGGAGGTGTAACAATCATTTTGGGTCGGCTCAGGTTTTGTCAAGACATTTATTTTGAAAGCAAAACCGGGACGAAGTGCCGGGCACTCCCGTCTCTTATAACGGAGTTTCTGCGCGCACCGTACCGAGGCATGTGATCAGCTGGCGTCGACCGACCACAGGTGAGCGGGGAGACTGAACGGTTGTCTTGGAAATGACAGCCGTGTCGGACCAAGGCAGTCGGAGCCACAGGTACCGGAGAGAACTCTCTGCTGACAGCCAGCACATGGCAGAAAAATGGCACCGGCAGAGCAAAATGGGTAAGATTGATTACTAACATTAGTTAGTTATTTATTAAGTTCAGATCCAAACCTCCGGAGAACATACACGCATGTTTTGCTAAATCATTGCGGACCTCATATGGGGTAATTGTTTTTATTTGTTTGTTTCAACTACCATATTTTGTGGAGCACTTTAAACAGTTTTAACCATCTGTTCATTGATTTGAGCTGTTTTTTCCCTTTTTTTTTTTTTTTACTCAACTTTGTCAACTATGCTTAAAGCTTTTGAATTGAATTTAGTTATAATTTAAATTGTTTGTCATTACTCTTAGTAAAAAGTTTCATTTATTCTTTTAACTAACTGTTTCAACTAAATATATGTTGTAAATAACTAGTTAAACAGTTCATCCATTACCTTTGGTTATTTTAACTACTCAGCTGTTTCCGTTGTTTCTCCTGTTATTTCTCCTGTTTATCACTTTAATTAATTGTTTTAACAGTTTATTTATTTCAGCTACTCTATTTATGTAATTACTTTTATCCAACTATTTTAACTATCTATTCATCATTTTTAGCATTCCTACCAGCATGGTCATTACTTCTAGCTAATTATTTTAAGAGTTTATTTGTTAATTTTAACTAATGATTTTTAACAATTTATCCATTACATTTAGCAAATTTTTTTAACGATTTATCCATTACTTTTAAACATTTTAAGAGATTATTTATTACTTTTAAGTAAGTATATTAACCATGTATTTATTACTTTTAGCTGACTATGCTTCCAATAGTTAGAACTGAAATTTAGTAGGTTCAGTTACATTTAGTTGAGTATAGTCATTACTTGAGTAAAAGTATCCTTGAGGGTGCTGATATGGTCCATCCATTGATGAATTTGTGCTAAGCTGTATCATTAAAAAAAAAAAAAAAATTATTATTTTATTACACTTTTACAAAAACACCAAACATTTTTCTTAATCTCAAAGTATGAGCCTTGATAAACCTAGTGTTAAGACTTGATTGTACTTACTGACAGACACACATGGACCATGGCAGACAACTGCTGGCACCATGGACATGTAGTTAGGGTCCGAGGACCTGCTTCGTTTCTTTCTTTCTTTCTTTCTTTCTTTCTTTCTTTCTTTCTTTCTTTCTTTCTTTCTTTCTTTCTTTCTTTCTTTCTTTCTTATTATTTTCCTGACCAACACAAAACCCTTAATTTGACCCCCTAAACATGCTCAAAAACTCACCAAAATTGGCACGCACCTCTGAATCGGCGAAAAATTTGATAAAATGAAAAAAAATAAACAAAAAACAGGCTCTGTAGCGCCACCTAGTTACAGAAAACACACTAAAAAGGCCCTAGCGGCCAGGAGGGGTAGCAGGGGTCCTCGGACCCTAAAAATGGTAACAGATAGCAACACTATGAAAATTGCCTATTCGTAGGTCAAAGTCTAGTGAAGGGGAATAAATTGTCAAAATGGAGGTCAGATGGGCATGAGGTTGCAACACGGACCAAGGACCCGATCAACGCTGCTTGCAGCTTTAATTAGGGTCCGAGGACCCCTACTTGCAAAGCAAACGGGCAAGGACCTTATTGTTCCCGCTTCGTTTCTTTCTTTATTAGGGTCCGAGGACCAAGGTCCAAGGATCCCTGCTTGCAAAGCAAGCAGGCTATTGTTCCTGTAGTGTTTCTTTCTTTCTTCTTCTTATTTGCCTGATCAACGCGAAACCCTTAATTTTACCCCTTAAACACACTCAAAAACTCACCAAAATTGGCACGCATCTCAGAATTGGCGAAAAATTTGATAAAATGGAACAAAAAAACAAGAAAAGGCTCTCTAGCACCACCTAGTTACAGAAAAACACTAAAACGGCCCTTGCGGCCAGTAGGAATGTCGTACAGAGATCAAACCAACACCAAAACGTTCGTCTCAATGACACCCACAACTCTCGCGCTGACACAGCTGACCTATCTCAAACAAGAAGTCCGCACTTTGCCTTTCAAAGTAAGAAAATCCGTGAAAACATCTTTTGGGAAAACATTATCTTGTCTGACACCGTAAATGCTTGCTTTGCTCCAGTAATGTTTCTTTCTTTCTTCTTCTTATTATTTGCTTGACGCACATAAAACCCTTAATTTGACCCCCTAAACACGCTCAAAAACTCACCAAAATTGGCACGCACCTCAGAATCGGCGAAAAATTTGATAAAATGAAAAAAACAAAACAAAAACCTCTCTAGCGCCACCTAGTTACAAAAAACACACTAAAACGGCCCTAGCGCCCAGTAGGAATGTCGCAAAGAGATCAAACCAAATCTCGTGCTGACACCCCTGACCTATCTCAAACAGGAAGTCCGCAATTTGCCTTTCAAAGTAAAAAACATCTTTAGGGAAAAACTTATCTTGTCTGACACCATAAATTGTATCAGCCTGAAACTCACACAGGAGACAGAGAAGGCCTTGATGTACAAAAGTTCTGAAGGGATTTGGCGTTTCTCAACCGGTTTTCGAATGGCGAATCGTTAAAGTTGATGAGCTCTAGTTGGCTCCTTCAACTTAAAGCAGGTTTAAATTGTGTCAAAATGGAGGTCAGACGGGCATGAGGTTGCAACGCGGACCGAGAACCCGACAAACGCTGCTTGGAGCTTTAATTGTTCTTGTTACACTACTTTCTTGTCTGCTTAGAGTCTGTGCATGTGCACTACTGCTCTTGTAGAGTAGTCACCACACAGATAACATCAAGTTGTGTTTACTGATATATACACTAATGGAAAGCTATCCCTGAGTTGACACTTTGAAGTCATTATTTAATACATTTAAACTTTTAGCAACTCATCATTAGATCCTAAAATTACATCTACACCCCCTTCATCAGTGAAAGATCCATAATGTATTAAAATTCTAAAATATTTGTTTGACATGGGATGTGTCCTGATGTCTGCACTGGAGGTTTCAGGACCACAGCGACTGGTTCCAAGCCAGTTGGGATGTCACAAATCCTGCATGTATTTTCTAGATGTTTAACTAAAATTTCAGGCGTGTTCAGCGAAGCTTTCCTTGTACAGCAGATAAAGGTGAAAACATACTCTGTGCAGACATCATTCTGCACAGTGAAGCTCAAATATCAAAGTCAAGAGACAATGAGCAACACATCTTTTAGCTAGCATTTAAACCCAGTTAAAATGCTTTGATTGTATCTTTTTGTTGAGTATATGGAAAAAAGTGATATGAAAAAAAAATTACTCACATTTATTCCTTCACACCTGGAAGCTAACACAACCACAGTCTGCTGTGAGCAGCACTGGAGCAGCCGGAAGTTCAGTGGTGGTTAATAACAATGGGGCAAGTTCTATTCTTTCACATCTCACTCCCACATTCATTCCAGATTGATGAGCAACCTTCAAGCCACTCTCTAGGTCACTTTACCATGTCAGGAACTGCTAAGAGTTTGTTTTGTTTTCAAGTTGAAAGCACTATTCCTGTATGCTGTGTACTGTACTGTTATTGCAGTGTTCTTTATTATTTCATCCTTGTGTAATTATATTATGAGTTGGATGTTTTATCAGGAAAGTTGGTTTTGTTTCAGATGATTGTGTCGTTTAGTTGCCATTTTTGAAATGCAGAAGCTATGTCAGCCATATCAGTTATTATTCTGTGATTAAAATCAAAGTATGCACAGAGGAAAATGAAATGACCGCTTCCACAGTGTGGCTTTGTGAGTAACTTCAGCTCTGCTTCATCTTGTGTTTTGCAGTGCGTGGCTTTTCCAGAGATGCAAGCCTGAAGGGACCTCTGTCAGCATGTGAGGAAAACTTCCCCACAGGTGACTTGAGATCACATCTATTTTTTGTTGTTTTGCTTTTTGCTTTATTTAATTTTTTTTGCAGTTCACCTGTTTGGTCCACATTAAAATAACACCTATTGGATGCACAACATTCATGGTTCCAGAGGATGCATTCTCGTGATTTTGCTAAGTTCCTGAATTTTCATTTAGTACCAAACTCACATCATTCTCAGGTGTACCTTGTGCTTAGAGGCACTAAATCTGTGCTTTAGCATGCTAACATTTTGGTAATTAGAAGTAAATCAAGCTACTGTGCCTGAGTGGAGACTCAAACATAGCTATAGAATTTGAACTGTTATTACGAAATATGTAACTTTGCATGTCTATTCAAAATTTAGCCCAGCTAGTAGAGGAGCGAATAGGTTAAAACCTACAGTGCATTTTCATCCTCAAGATTGTGTCAATCTGAGATGTAAAAGAAAAAAAACAACAGATTTTAATCAGTTTCTAGTCATCAATTAAAATACAACAGATTATTGGCAATAACAAGTTAACTCCATTGTGCAAAAGATGAGATTTCCTAGAGTTGTATGCTTCCATTAAAACAGCATTCAGATGACACTCAGCTAGATTTTATACATTCATCAGAGACTTGTTCAACTTAATCAGTCTACTGTCATTATTTACCTGCTGGAAATATCGTTTTACCTCAGGTTTTCAGCAGAGCATTGGTAATAGGAAGAATGGCAGAAGAGCTAAGTGAAGGTGTCAGAATATTTTTTCAGACCCAAGAAGGGCTTTCTCAGCATTACAGCTGGACTGAAGGTTTCTAAGTGGACAGTAGTTTTGTCATGATACCAAAAAACTGAATTGACTATACCCTGACCAAGAAGTAAGTTGTTGTACTTCACCCTCTGGGTTGCACCGTTGTGGAAAAGGATTTATACTGCAGCAGGATAATGATCCCAAACACACCCCTAAGCTTTGAAGAACTACCTGAATCCCAAAAAAAGACCAAGGAATGCCGACTGCAGTTGAATTTCCTTCACAGTCACCTGACTTCAACCTTACTTAACATTTATGGGGCACTTGAAGACTGAAAAAGTAAAATATTTCAAGAAGCTCTTTGGCGCATTGCCACATCATGCTGGATTAACAATTCTGGACAAAGTGGTAGAGTCCATATTGCTTGAGTTCTCCTGTCACTAAAACAAAAGGGGAACGAACAAATACAGAGATATTCTGACATTCTGTCTTTAGTATATATTCAAGTATACATATTTTGTTTTTACATATGCCTTTAATTTGATCATATACATCTCAGCACATTTCTTGATAAATCCACAGCTGTACAGTAAAGTCTGTGCAGCCTCTTAACATAGCACCATCTTCCCCATAGCACAACAATTAGCTGCTACATTCGTGGCAATATTAGTTACCACATCTAATAGCTGGTGGTATAGTGAGCTACATTCTTCCATAAACTTTACGCCAAAGATCTAAACAATCTTAAAGAAAATTATGTTTTTTTTCCAGTACTTGTTGCGTCATCTTATCTGCTGCCAAATACTCCTTGACAGTTGACAAAAGGTTAATAACCCAACTGGATAGAAGGTGTCATTAAATTTCATTGCACTTATATAGCACCTTTTAACTGTGGTTAGGTATTATAAGTGCTTTACAATTTGTTTCTCATTCACCCATTCACACAGGGACACCAGTGGTGGCAGAGCTGCCATGCAAAGTGCCTGCCTACCATCAGAAGCAACTTGGGGTTCAGTGTCTTGCCCACGGACACTTTGACACGTGGAGGGGGGGGCAGAGAGTGAACTGCTAATCTTTAAATTAGTGGAAAACCTGCTCTGCCACCTGAGCCACAGCCAACCATGTTTATTATATGTTTATGCTTCGGAGTACGATAATTTATCATAGGATATTGCTTTTATTAGTATTGTCAGTCCTGACTATCTCAAGAGCAAATATCCATCTATGCATGTATCTATTAGCTATACGCACTTTTTTCTGTGGAGCTTTACAGGGAGAACCAATCATCTGACCTGTACAATAAAGTAACCTCAGTGGAAAATCATGTGAGAGAATTTAAAGTAGTTTACACCTTGAACCTGTGTGTTACACTGAAGTCACTTATTAAACTCTATGTTAGTCACTCATTGTCATAATCAGCTCACATCACTGGATGAGTTTATTTTACAGGTAGCTCACTTGCAGTTTGTAATTTAATCTTGGGTGTGAGCTGGTGAGTTGGTTAAGATATCACAAAAACCTGTGTGATATGTTAAGGCGTCTGTATCCGATAGGCTGCAGGCTGTGTCTCTGGAGGTGATCGGCTCAGTCGGGCCACAATGCCTGAACATGGGGCCCATCGCCTTACAAGTGGAATATATTTTCAACTGTCAACAAAGATCTGCTTAGGAAAGCTGCTGTCAACCTCAAAAGCTCAAAGAGCTTGTGATATTGACCCTATCTCTGTATGCTTCTTTAAACAAGCATTTAGTTGTTACGAGGACACTGTCCTAGAGAATGTAAATTCATTTTGCTTTATTACGCTCGTAAAACTACAATTGTTTAATTCAAAAGATTAATGATCTCGACCCTCTGGTCTTGAGTGCCTTATGGTCTTCTCAAATTTACCAGAAATTGTTGTCTTTACAACCAGTTCTTATCTTAATGTGAACTACATCACTGAGAATTTTTAATCCATCTTTACTCTAACCACAGCCCTGCACTAGAAAAAGAAGTAAATGATTTTAGAATGAATCTGAACGAAGCAAATATATCAATTCTTGTGCTGCCTTACATACCATAAATTATAGCATCCCAATGCCTAACATCCTTCTGACTTATCCTAGGCACAGTCCTAAATTAAGTGGTCTTTTCTGACAAGACAAGGCTATGTGATGTCTCTGGAAGATTTGGTATCACCTAAAATTGCGGTCATGGGTGGTGTCCCTCAGGGGTCCATTCTTGGACCCATCCTGAGAAGTATCGTGAGAGAGTATGAAAGTGATATTTAACCTCTTCTAAAGAAACACAGTTGTGTCTTCCCTTCTTATTTGATGGCATTAGCCCATTGATGTAATGTTGCATCAGTCACATTAGACTGGGAGAACCTGGGTGTTTGATTGCGACATACTCTTTGATTTCCAGAGAATAATCACTGAAAATGCACTTTAGACAGAAATTGCATTGCAGCAGCCTTTATTGTCTAAGGAGGACACAAACAAACTACTCATTCTTTTATTGCTGGTAGACTTGACTATTGTAATGCCATGTTGTCTGGCCTCCCACAGGTCCCATATTGTGCCCTGTTTCAGCAAGTTAATAAAAGGCTCCCATGTCCCAAGAATGTGTGTTTCAACTTTTTAAAGCACTGCCAAAACAGTTAATTTTACCATGGATGTATAACCCCTGGTTTTAGTTCTAAACAGGCTGTTTCCATGTTGGCAGATTTAAATGCAATAAGTTGATGCTGTGTCCTCCTTCTTCCAGGAAGAAGACTCTGTTTGTATCTTTGACAGCTAGAGTATGGCAGCTGTCGCTTTTCTGTTGCCTTCCATTTTAAAAGTGAAACATAAAAAATATGTAAATGAGAGCAGTTTTCCTTGGAGTTTGGGTGTATTAAAATGCAGTATATGTGAGCATACAAAGCAGTAGAGGAGCAAACAAATGTCAATACTACCTGAGCTTAGGGTGACGCCTAAACACAAAAGCAGTATGAAAACACAGTGATGAATGTTTCTAAGTGTATTTTATATATTTATTGTCTTATCTTGTGTGCAGCCTGCTCAGTAATGCCTGATCCCAGTCATGTACTCATGGCTGCTGCTGCCTGGTTATCGCACAAAGCAAGAACCACGAAACTATTTTGTGATTGAGTGTGGACTCTCTAGTGTTTTTGTCAGAGTTTTTTAGCTGAACTTATGGTTCTGATTCTGGATTCTGGATGTCGTAACACATCATTCCTTTTACAGAGTACATGTGAGATTCTCTGACTTCCCATGTTGAAAGTTTGTCCTGGAAAACTACTTGTGTTATTACAGCAGTTATGACAGCTGAGAAAACTTGAGATTCCCCTATTCATCCTAACTTCTCTTGGGATGCTAACTGGATGTATTTTGACAATGATCCTGTTCTCATCACCAGTACGTTCATGTACATCTTCAGCTGCAGAGCTGTTGATGTCAGTAAGCTCCAATATTAGTGAAAATGCTATGAACTAACCAGTAACCAGCTGCAGTTCCATCATGGTAAAGTGACAAAAAGCCAAACAGACACATTTCTATATCATTGCCTGGTTTAGGTATTGTAACAGTGAGACAGCACTGCCGCCATCACACCTACAGACAATTCAGAATCACGAGGCAACCTCAGCGTGTCTTTGGACTTTTAACTCCACACAGAAAGACCAGGAGTCGAACCCATGATCTTCTGGCTGTGGGGTGACAATGCCAACCACTTCTCTACTGCATGCCGCCCTAATTTTCAGTGGACAGTTTTTCAAGAACCTTTCATTGTTTAATATTTCACATCTCTGCCGACATCATACACTTTTTAGAAAAAGGCAGGGAAGACCAATGCTTTTTATTATTATTATTATTATTATTATTATTTTGACATTTTGAATTTAGAACATTGTTTGAATTATATAGTTTGAGAAATACCACTGTTGAGTGCAATTGTTTTTTTTTTCTAATGAACTGAATACCTGTGATGATACTGATTAGGGATGTCAGTGGTTGACCATTAATAAATTAGTGGCTGCTAATAATTGAAACAATAAAAAATAATAAATATAATGAATACTTATAAATAAGAATATTCACTAATAAGTCAGAAGACGAGAAACTTACATGTCAGCGAGGCACGGTGATGGTGATGTAAATTAGTGTTTATTTTATTTCATTAAAATACAGTATATTTCCTTGTTCATTTAACTGCAGTTTCATTGAGATGGTAGTGAAGTTAAGTTAAAATAAATGCTGTTGTGTATATATTTATGTTTGCACTGATAAATTCAGTAGACAAGAGGTGCAGATTTGAGGAGGATAATGACACACATTAATGTGTGTGTTATACAGTATCACAGGTGGGAATGGATTTATTCCTCTATTCGTAAGCGTTCACCCGGTAACAGAGGCTATAAAATTCTGTCATCCCTTGTTCTGTGTGTTCAGCTCTGCCTGTGCTGCTGGATGTGGTCAGGGGTTCTGATCATCTTCCAGCAGACGAGGAGTTACAGGAAATGCTGAGAGGGAAATTGCGCATTCTGCAGACTGACAGCGCTGAGGTCAACGCTCTATTCATGGTACAGCTCATGAAACATACACACACACCTGGCCACCAGCCAAAAACCTTTCTTTGTGGAATGTGAATAGATGAAAAATCCTCAAAACTTTCTCAAAGAAAAACAATTACACTTAAGAACTACATATCAAAAAAATGTATGAACTGCTTTTCTTTTCCCTCTTTACAGGAGTTGTCCACTCATCTTGTCTCCATTAACAGTGAAGATAAAGCCATTTTTGTAACATTCAAGACATTTGAGGAAATATGGATGTTCACCACATATTACACAATCGGTAAGAAGTATGCTTGAATGGACATGGAGTTGTTTGAACTTCACAAGTCCTCCAAAAACAAACCCACAGTTTTGCTGATACATTATGACTTCTATGATATTTAGAATGCAATTCTATGCCTGATAACCTGCAAGTTTATCTTATTGATCTGACAGGATACACAGGTATGTTCATCTATTTATGTTTAAATGTGTGTACAATATATATTAAGTACTGCGCCAAAGTGTGCCACTTTACTTTCAATAAACACTGAAAGTAAAGTGAGAATGCTGTAAAATATACGTAGGTACGTAAAAGTGTTTTTGCACGTGACATTTAATGTGTAAAAACATGTTAAAGTCACACATGAAATATGTAGAACAAAAGTGAAATGTGCTTTTCACATGGGAAACATGGTTTTGAAACACTTTTATAGTGTATATGTGTAAAACTCACATGTATTCTCATGTGAAACCCATGTGATTTAATTTGGAATTCATGTGTATTCCCATGGGATTACACAAAACCATTTAAAAAAAAAAAAAAAAATTTTATTGTAAGTGCACCGGGACTGCAAGGTGGCGCAGTTGGTAGCACTGTTGCTCCACAAGAAGGTTGTTGGTTCGGCAACACCATCAGGCTTAAGCTTGATGGTGTTGTGGATTGAACCCTGAACGTCTGATCCGTAACCCAGAGCCAGAATTACTGAGCCAACAGTGCCAATGGCCCACACAGAGGGAAAGATACTAGTAAAGCACACAGTGCACACGGCGGCAGGCCGCTGCAGGAGAGGGGGAGAGTTCTTTGTGGCAAAACAGGGAGGGGTTAATGCAAGCTTCATTAGACTCTGTGTCTCGCTTGTAATTTTAACTGTAATGCAGTGGGTTTTACATGTAATCCCATTTCTCTGATGGAATTACCGAAGCCCTTGCCTTTTTGTCACACAAAAAAACGTTAGCAAATTTTTACTATAGGTCTCCTGTAAATATGATAATCTGCTGGGTCAAAAATATACATACAACAATGCTAATATTTGGTTTAACGTCCCTTGGCTATTCTCACTTCAATCTTTTGATAGTTGTCCCCCAGCTTCAGGCAAGTTTCTAGTTGTATCTTTGACTACTCCTCTTGACAGAATAGGTGCAGTTCAACTAAATTTGTTGGCTTTCTGACACAGACTTGTTTTTTCATCACAATCCACAGATTCTCGATGGGATTTAAGTCAAGACTTTGGGGAGACTATTCTAGTCTGATTTAACCATTTCTTTACCATTTTGATGTGTGTGTGTGTGTTCATTGTCTTGTTGGAACACCATACAGGTTTCCCTAAAGAATGTGAAGGTTGTTGTCCTTCATTATTGTATTTACATTGTGTAAAGAACCAGTTCCACTAGCAGCAAAACAGCTCCAGAACATAATACTGCCACATGCTTCACGGTAGGTTTGGTCTTCTTAGGATTCAGAGCCTCTCTTTCTCTCCTTCAAACATCCATCC